ACGACGTCACGGGACTGACTATAACGGGCGCGGTTTTTGAATCTTTTTAGGAAACACACTAAAAATATTTATAGGTATGTTGCAAACTATTTATTGTAGCTACATTTAAATAAAATATGTTGAAAATTAGTCAACTAAATTTGTTTATTTAAATGTAGCTAAAATAAATTGATTGCAACCACTTTCCTTAAAAAAATGTAGTAAATTAAATTAATATTTTCCCCCAGTGAAATATAGTAAATATTAGTAAAAATATATAAATATAAAAATAGTAAATATATTTACTATTGTTTATGTATTTATTTGATTAGCTTTTAATTATTTATAATAACCTATAGCCCTATACTCTATACAAACATATTTTCTCCAAAAATATTATTTAAAAGAAAAAAGTTGTTTCAAGTCTGTTCAACATGCAGTCGTGTTTGAACGGGAAACCTGATATAATGGTGTTAAATCAAAAGGAATTGTTTAAATAAAGTGAACAGCATTACATTATTTTTTTTTCTTAGTGAGCAGTGTTCTTTATCATTCCTGTAATAACACAACTCTTTAAAAGAGAAACAATTCTGTTATACAGTTAAGTGATGGAACATTCTGTGAAATTATGACCCTGGTGGCTTTCAAGTGTGAGGATGGGGCATCTTCTGCATCCACCACAAACAGATTGTTTTAGCTAAAGAGCTTGCGTGGAGGAACATTTTTATTTTAGAGATGTTCAGCTAAATATATCCTGAACATTTATACAGTGTCTCATAATGTATTTGCTGTCCATCCTCAATCACTCAAGTGTAAATGTGTAATTATTAGGTCTAAAGACAAACTGTATGTCATTCCACTTCCAAACAATATTGAAAGAGACTAAAAACTGATTCCTGGGGAACTACTTCTGCAGCTTTATACAGATATCAATGCCAATTGTTGTTTTTCAGCTTTATTTCTCCATACAATTTATAATGATATGTTATAATAATGCAATGATATAATATTAATGCAGAGTGAGTGAACTTCAGTTTTTGGCCATGCAATATAGACAGTGTTTACTTGACTGTACACTTTATAATGCATTCGCTTTATTTATTTGTGTTATTACTTTCTGAAAACAATGTATGTCCAAGTAATGAAGTGAACTGAAGAAGCAAACTTAAAATTTACTCAAAAATGTGACTTAAAATATACTACAAC